ACGACGACGACGACGACCACCACCACCACCACCACCGCCTCCTCTGTAGCTGACACTGACACCGCCGACTTCTCATGCCCACACTGTCCACGCACATTCACCTCACGTATCGGCCTGGTCGGTCACTTACGAATCCATCGCACAGAGACTGGCGACCCAGTGCCTGGAGCACCCACTTATACCCACCAAGCCCGTCTCAACTGCCCACACTGCCCTCGCACTTTCAGGCATCGCATGGGCCTATTCGGCCACATGCGCATCCACGACGACCTGCGGTAGACAACCGCCGGTTACACCACACATCCACACACTCCCTACCTCCTCCACCACCACCATCACCCCACCAGAAATCAACACTCACACACCTCATGCACCCAACTGCCACCTCCCACGCAAGTGGGAAGTCCGCATCTCGACTCGGTCCCCATGCGGCTTCGGCTGCACGGGTGACTTGAGTCCGAAACTATCCCGACACGTCAAGCGTCGTGGATAGGAAGGTTGCTGATTGACGCCCGCTCTCGGTTTACGCAGTTCGTCGCGTTGTGTGTGTGTGTTGTGTGGAGTGGCGGACTGGTGGGCCGGGAACGGGCTGAAACAGCACCTTCCACGGCACTATCACGCAAGTGAGAGACACGCCGTTCAACCCCCGTTGTGTGAAATCCTGGTGTTGTGTGCATGGGGTGCCAGGTCGTGCTGTGGCGCGCGCAGTCATGGTCAGTCGACCATGACAGCCACCGCACCCATTCCCCACTCCAGTCTGCTGACCGGCTCGGACAGCGGCTGGGGTGTGGGAGTGGGAAGGGATAATGAGGCCGACGACTCAGCGCACTTTCTCCTCACTATAAACAATCTGACGCGCTTGAAGCTATTACGGTGCGCTAAAAGCCGTGGCTTGGAAGGTTGCCAACTGACGGGGTAACTTGGACCTCCTCCTTGACCGGAGGCAGTCTGAGAGTCAGGCTGGAATGGCTCCTTTTTAATGTGGCCTTTATGGCACTCCCATCACAGTGTGGGATCCGAGCCAGGCGTTGGCGGCACGCCCAGGTGCGGCTTCGGCCGTGCCAGCCTCCAAATCTCTCTTGTGTTGGTTGAAATCCTGGTTATTTGTTGTGTGGACTAGGGGGTGTGGTGGAACGCCAAGGTGAGGATACGTGCGAGCCATCCACCTGCGGCCTCTCTCGTCTCCGGTCTTCTTGACTCTGTCTTGACACCGGGCTTGGGCGAGGGAGGAGGAGAGAGTGTAGGTAGATGCTACGCAAGTCTACCGACACTATAAACTCCTGCGTAAGTCACCGTCCTTGCTCCCATTGCTGCTGTAACTGTGGGGCACACGGTGGACATCATCGAAAACGATGGTCGAACTGTCATTATGGAGAAGCTGAGTAGGTAAGACATGAGACAAATTAAGCACCTAGATGTTCACATTCAAGAGACGGTAAAATTCATTTGTTGGCGAATGCTAACAAAAGGAAAAGGAGTCCAAATATCAGTATCGAATACGAAAACTTGTCGAAGTGTTCGTGGGCATCAAGAAAGTGTTCTAACGAACAGCATTTAGCATCACATGATCCGGCATTCCAGTTTTTCTAATGTAGACGGAAAAACAGAAGTATATTTTGGCTCCGAACTCTCCTGTAGATGTTAAAAAGTTTTGTTTGATCTTGTTAAAGTTTTAGTACACATTGTAAATCGGTCGTCTTCCCACAGTGCAATTCGGTTGCCGTTGGATTGCATCAGCACTTCCAAGAGCCCTTTAATCAAACGGCGTGCGGTGACCGACATCTGAACGTTTCCGAAATCATGGACCGAGGTGGACAAAACCATTGGAAACCTTTACTGATGCTAGAGAGCGTGCACTTGGCTCAGCCGGCTGAAGGGACAGCGCTCTTACCAGCCGTGTTAATCGTTTAATTTTTTCACCAAGGCGTAAGGTATGAGCAGGTGCTTGCGCATCTACGGCTACGAAAAGTAGAGGAAGAGGGAAACATCGACCTGCATCAAAGGCTCGGCGATCTGAGGGTTGGATCATATGTCTACAAGCAGTGGTTGATAGGCTTCTTATGTGGCCATGATAACCACGAGCAGAGTGTTATATGTTCATTCCAGCCCTTTGCGATAATTGCCGTACCTGTCACGCCGTCTATCAGTCCCTCCTCATTTTAAGGCTGGGTACTTAATAGCAGTGAATTCTGGGTTTTGGCATGATCACTCTCCTCTATTTGTACTAGGCACTTGGTAGAATAACACAGAGAATCCAGTGAAAGAGGCAAAAAACAGAGCCTCCACTATAAATTCGCCACTTTTAATGTCAATAAACCTTGAACGTCCTACAGACACATAAATTATTTTATTTTGCGTCACACTGCAAGTGAGCACAACGAACACTTTTACTTACCTAATTAACTGGTCCGTCCTGTGCCTGTCGGTTGTAGTCTTGGCGCGTAGTTTCGGTTGCCGTGGTCTTGTTTGTCGGGTTCTGCAAAAATGTCTGAAAAGAAGCCTGCTAAAGTTGGCTACTGGTACTTTGGTGGTGTGGCCAGTGCTATGGCTGCGGCCGTGACCCATCCACTGGATTTAATCAAGGTCCATCTGCAAACTCAGCAGAAAAAGGAACTTGGAATGATATCGATGGGTATCCGCGTCTTTAAGAACGACGGATTCTTCGCTTTGTACAACGGTCTCAGTGCTTCTCTTCTTCGTCAGCTCACCTACTCCATGACTCGTTTCGGCATCTACGAAACATACAAAACCAACTTGGGAAGGAAAATGACTTTCGCGGAGAGTGCCGGCGTCGCGATGATTTCCGGTTTTGCTGGCGGCGTTGTTGGCAATCCTGCAGATATGGTTAACGTCCGGTTCGTCGTACTACATCATCCGATTCCCTAATTGTTATTATATATATTTTACACTCCTAAGTTAGAACAGACTACAGTCATACTGGACAGTCCATGCTATGTCCTTTTGCATAACAAGCGTACCTCCGTTCACCGTCAAAAATTCTAGTGTGTCATTCATTTTTTTCGAATTTTAGGATGCAGAACGACATGAAAATCCCCCCAGCTGAAAGGAGAAAGTAAGGCCACAATACTTTCCTGTTCGATTATTTGTGATGACTCTTCCTGGCGTCTGGTTTGTCTCCTCCGTAGCTGCTTAAAAACATGCGGCATTTTCAAATATGACTGCCTCTTAGCTTGTTAGTTCAATGCGTTAGCGAGATTTTCACTTGTTATGCGCGTGTCCATGAGTGATGAAGTCCTTTGGGGGCCTTATACAAGTGAGAAATTCCCTAGGACTTTCCATTTTTCAGAGGTTAGTAAACGCACAAAAGTTGTGGGCTTTTTTCTGCCCTATTCTTGCGTGGGACTGGAAGCGACTGCTTCTTAAAAGTAGTACCGCTTTATTGCGTCTGTGCTTGTCAGAGTGCGGTCGTAAAATAGCCTGGACCGGTTGTGCTGTTTTGACTTAAAGCACTATTTTTCCGCATCGCCATTTCCTGCACCCATTGATGCTCTGCATTGGTAGGATGGCTGACCTATGCATGCTGGGGAGGTCTTTCCACCTCTAGCCCATTCATGTTTTGGCGTGACGTAAAAGAGGAACCTGTGACTAATCTAAGCGAAAACTCACCGTACGCCGACCAGTAGTTAACTCATACTTCCCTTAATGGTGACATTTTTGCTAAGAAAGCATTTTGGGACCGGGGATAGTCATCTGATTGCCATTTTGGAGGTGTTTGACCACCGCTGTTTGAGGACCATCCTTCGAGTGGAGTACACCGACTTCGTCTCCAATAAAGGCAGTCCGCGCTCGCTGCGACATCGCGAGGATAGCCCAGGCCACCCAAGACGACTGAGGTGGTCTGGGCATGTTCGTCGTCCACCTCAGGAGCTTAGTGTTACTGCTCTCGATCTAGCACCGTTACCCCATTTTAGGCGTCGAAGGGAGGGGGGGGGTAAACTCAAAACTTGACTCGACATAGTTCGTCAAGACGTGGAGGTAGTTCTTGGACCTTCGGTGTCCGGCCTCCGTCGTTGGCGAAGAGATCTGGATTTTGTGGCGGCCTATTTTACTCTGCGAAATGCATTTCCACCTTGCTGCGAAACGTCTTTCGACCTCACAAGGTCACTTGTCGCACGTGTTCGGTATGATTTTGATCACATGTCCGACTTCTTTTGTTTTCGTGACGTGTCTCTGGGATTCTCGACACAGTTAAGTCTATAACGGTCGTTGAGATTATTTGTTCGAGGTTGCCTGGTTTCACGCTGTGGTCCGTAGGACTCTAACCTTGCAGCGGTCGCAAAACCTGCTTAGTGATGGCCCATGATCAGGGTGGCAGATTTCTGCCACTGAGCTTTTGGGGTGTTTTATAAGACGGTCGGTGTGCCAGGCATAGGTTTTCCGCGCACTAATAATACCGTCGCTGTCGGTCCACGACTGCTTATTAACCAGGCACAGGGGAGCCTCTTTCACAGCTAATTTTCACTGATGACGGCTCCACAATCTCCCAACTTTTGACTCACCGATCATAGACCGGCTAGGTAAATCTGTCTTTCCAGGTCCTGGCCTTTGTTCATTTCGGTTACTTTGGATTAATTTATGCAGCATCTCTTCTTATTCTCTACGGAGATTGGAGGTACTCAATTTTTACCCAACTTGATTTGAAATGTTTGTAAGAGGACCTGAAAACCCTACTTGAGGTGACAGTTTCCCTACGATTTTCGGTTGTGATCTTCATGTATAACTATCGTGCTCTTACCTGAGAATGTTAATGTAGCGCCTGTATCGTTACCCATGGTTAGTCTTCTGAAAATGTTTACAGTTAATACCGTTTTTTCTGGATTTAAAGGCGCCGCAATTGTCGGTTAGACGCTGTCATAATCCAAGCTTTCCCTTATTACATTTTAAGTCATGTCAGGTATCCGGACGTAGTTGTAGACTCCTTGTAATGAGTCGTGTCCTGCAACATCTGCTGCTAAGGTTGCATCTGGTTTTTTCACTGTTAGCAGTCTCTTCAACTGCTTTCGAAATCTAGAGTAGGCACAAAAATTATGTACTCCTTTTTGTTTGCATCCAATCATTTCCACGTTTATTCTAACCATCTCGGCTGGATGTACTTACAATTTCAGCTACAAGCACGCAATCGACGGCTTGATCCAAGTCACCCGTAAAGAAGGTGTCGGTGCCCTCTTCAATGGTGTTTCTATGACAGCCACTCGAGCTATGTTCATGACCTTTGGGCAGCTGGCTTTTTACGACACGTTCAAACAACTGCTTCTTGCCACCGGCTATTTCAATGACAACCCAGTCACACACTTTTCCGCCAGCATTGGAGCTGCCGGTATCGCCACCTGCATGACACAACCCTTCGATGTTATGAAGACACGACTCATGAATGCTCCTCCGGGCAAATACTCTGTACGTCCTTTGGATGGCTCAATGCGGGCCCTCTTCAGTGTTTGTCCGTGTTCTTGACACTTTCAGGTAGCATACAACAGATACCAAGTTAGCGTTCGTTTACGGAATACGAGAACATGAAAGCGCCCAGCTTTATGTGGGTATTTGAGCGTCATTTGTTGAATTGGTGTTTGCAGATGATGAAAGTAATGCGTTGCATGAAGGGCCAACTGTTCATCTGATTCGTTTTACTTCAATCTCACCAAGTCTAGACTTTAAAATATCTACTTAGTCGATGCCGATTCCGGCCATCCTACTTGCCCGTTAGATTTTTCGCATGCAGTTCATTGTCACAGATTTGAGGTTTGCAACGTTGGCAGTTTCGGGAAGATCGGACTCGGCCGAAGTAGCAAACCTGCGAAAAATGCCACTGCCGTCTAGAGAATCTCCTTGATTGAAAGCTGTGACTCCACTACGTTTGGCCGAACCAAGCCTGATATGGCTTTCATCTACAGTCAGCAACCTTGTCTTTTAATCTCAAATTGCTTTCATCCACTAACTGATGACGCCGTGTCCGACTGGCTCGCAGTGATGCCCGCTCTTCCACTGGTCGAAGTTCACCACAAATCTACTGCGCTGAAAATATATGAGGGACAGATTATCCTTTATATTCCAAAGGAGTTAATTGGCCTGGCGTTTTTCCCCAGTGTAGTGCGTAATTTCCACTCGATGCATGACGTCCCCGATCACATGCTATCAGTTGCGAATGGTCCTCATCATTTGACTTTCTGACTGTTAAGAAACAAACATTCAGGCGTCCTAGGGCTGGCGAGTTTTCAGTACGACCTGGCTCCCTAGTCAGGACGCTACAAATCTAAGATCACTTTTGTCAACTTAAGTTGCTGCCTGACTTTCAATGCGTATCGAACAGGATGCCTTATCCTTATTATTTGACAAAATATGTTGACTAGGATATATCACCTTTTCCCAGGGCCTCGCCGCCTGCGGTCTTGATGTGATGCGAACTGGCCCTCTCGGCTTCTTCAAGGGCCTTGTCCCAGCTTTCATCAGACTTGGCCCGCACACGGTCCTCACATTCATCTTCCTGGAACAGCTGAAGCAGAATTTCGGCTACATTCCGACGCAAGCTGCGGCAGCCAAACCAAAGGCCTAAGTACTAGTGTATCTAAGATTATTAGGGCTGACACACGCGCCACAGAAAAAGCGCCATCACACTGTTAGATAGTCATGTTCTCCGTTTCATTGTCTTATCTTTGTTCTCATCGTTTTAATATGCTCCCCACATCACCAAAAACTGACTTGTTAATAAACGCAGGTAGAAGTTTTCGTCTTGGAATTTGATTTTTTCACGAAAAACAATTCCGGGACGGTTTGGGTCTCAACGGCGGCCGCAGTACGAATACAAATATTAGCAGTTCTGTGACGAGGTTTCAGCAAGGACTCCATCAATGAACTGCGGAGTTGTTTGAGGCGTCACTCACTTCAACACTACGTGCTCATTAAAAAAAGACTGTTCTGCCATATTAAACTCTTCGTGTGAGAACGGCCTTCTCCGTCCGGACCGCTTTACATACCCTTCTAATTTCTCAATCAGCACATAAAGCCGCCCGTCGATTATTTACCAGAAACGGCACCTTTGTATTTTGTCCAACAGACTGCAGTTTGTCGGATCTGCGCATTAATGACGACGGGGACACGGAACGCCATTGTTTAACAGCTAGGGATTCTTCAGCGTGCCATCAAAGTGATCCCCGGAGGCGGAGGCAGACTTAAAGCCTAAGGACGCATTTCCTGCCCGTAAGAGCCGTCTCTAGTGGCGCACTAGGGAGACGTCCACACAGATGAGAGGGCGTCGTGTCGTCGCGTTCCTGGCTGCATCGGTCAAGCGGTGAATTAGGGTCGTTCCAGCTCGTCCTTAAGCAGAACTGGTGCATCCGCGTCGGATTTCGGCACCTGAACAGCAGAGCCGAGCGCTTAAGGCGAACGGAAAGCGGGACAATTTGTAGTTTGCAAGTGGCTGTGGACGGCATATAAGCGAACCGAGGTGTTGGCATGTTCTATTCTCAGTAGTGAAATTTCGGACTGGGGCCTTTTGGCGGCTGAGGGACAGGAAAACCACTAAGAATTTTGGCAAGGCGGCCTTATAGGATTTGTTCGGAAAAGCGCAGTCCTTAACAGTGAGTCGACAGCGACTGATCACGCTGACTCGTGTCCCTCCAAGGAGCCCTTTCATGAACACTGGCCTCACTTCCCGGCAAGGCATGTTTCGATTAGCTACCAACACCCGCCCCACTCCTTTGCGTGCCGTCGCCATTTGGCATTGAGGCCCGTTTACCGTGTGGCCGTCATCGCTGTTTCCTTCGATGCGAGTTCCTGCTTTCGTTGAAACCCAGTTAGGTGGGCAGGAAACGCTCAGCCACGACGTCGCGCGTGTGGAGGGTGATTTGTGCCGCTTCAGCCTTTGTGCTCATGCCGATCTCTACACAACTTGTCTGTCCACTGGGACTCCGTCGATGTGGAAAGGGCGGAGGCCGCGAAGATCTTTTTCGCTGGAACGATTCACGTGAAGATCTGGTGGTTCTTGCGCGCAGATCTTGCCATGAAAACACGCCTCTGGAGTGACTCGTGGAGCCGTCGACCCCGCCTTCCGTGAATGCGGCTTCCAGCGGGATGCCGGCAGGCAACTTAGCCTTCTCGGATTGGCCCACAACCAGTGTTGGCAGCGGCTGGACGCGCAGAGAAGACGCTTCTGTCCTGCTTGCAACGAAGCCCATCCGTAAGCTGTGCCTCGGAAAGACTGCTACACTCAGGTCCGCCTGACTTTCGAGTCGATAAACCCACCACT